CATTAGCACCTCTAGTAATATATTTACTGAGAAAAATGGTGATGTGTTCAATATTTATTTTACCCGATGTATGAACTCAAATACAGCTGAATGTCAATGGTAAGTCTTAAGAGAGCAACATGGCAATATGTGACTCATATTGTCTGAAGAGTGTTCATGGGTTGATTGGATTATTTTAGGGCTTTAGAATTAGTTTTGCTAGAACTTTTAGTGCTTTAGAATTAGGGGACCTAAATATTTGAGTTAGTGTTTTAGGGCGAGTGGAACTAATTTTTAGATTAGCGCTGCCCACCACTGGAAAAGGCAAAATAACAACTGTGCCTTAGTTTCGTATAAATAGTCATATTTAGGTGATATAACAAACACAGCAATGCAGAAGTCCAAGAAATCACCTTCTGATATTCATATGTTTACTTTAAATTTATCTTATTGCTCAAAAACAACTTGTTTTGAATCTATGAGGTTCTACTAGCTTGAAATAGCTAGGGTAACTGAAAAATGCACACCAAGTAAAAGCTTGGGATTCAATAAGTTAAAACTGTCTAACCAAGGGGGTCCAGGGAGGCCACCGTTGTGTTTTTTTAGGGGTGGCCAATGCCCCCCTAACAGCCCCCTATGGTGTCCCTTATTGAGCTAAAATTTGGTGTGGTTTTTGCCGAGGGTCTTCTTCAACACATCCTTAAACACATGAAAATGTTCATAATGTCATCTTCAGGGTTTGATCAAAACACCTACATCTTTGTCTCTTCTCATCAGGAAGTCAACATTTGTTTAATGTGAATAAAAGTTTTGGCAGCTGCTAATCAGAGATTAACATATTTTAACTGTCAAAAATTAACTGAGGAGAGCAGAAGCAAAAAGCAGTCTATAAACATGTTACACATGACTGGCAGTAAAACACATTTTTCTGTCCCACATTTTTTTGAAGATGTGGTAAAAATCTAAAAGAGTTGGTTAACAGTAATAAAAATATCATGTAGTTCTGTTTGTGTTTGTGTTTTTTTTTTGTGTGTTTTTTTTGCGGCAGGTGGTGAAGAAGCTTCAAATATAATCTATAATTAAATGGATGGTGTCGACTGTTATCATTAGAGATACGCTCAGAATGCACACTCCCCTTTTTCCTTCATGACTCAGCAAATGATCAGTGGCCAACTGACCTTAAAAAATACAACCTTAAAAAATACAACATTAACTATTAGTGTGTCGAATTTACTGACCTAAAGATTAAGTGACACATAATCTATAAAACAGAGGTGAGTAGAGTATCCAAAAGCTGGATTCAAGTAAGAGTAGCGCTACTTCAATRTATTTTTACTCAAGTACAAGTGAAAATTAGCTGTCCAAGAAATTATGCAAGTAAGAGTAAAAAAGTATTTTGTGCTACTTGAATGCTCTGATGTGATATTTTAAATGATGTCAGACTTACAAAAAATAGAAAGATTTTTGCAAATTCGTTTTTTTACAGGAAAAAAAAAACATTCCTGATCTCACAATTACAAGAAAAGTTGTCATAATTACAAGATCCTTATCTGGACTTAAGATACCTACTTAATGTCGACATACTGGCATTAATGCCGTCTGTAATGTTTTGTTCTGGCTGTATTGAATGGGACTCTTATTTTGAAATATCCACACAAATGTAATGCCAAGGTGTTGAGGGGATCCGTTTTGGTGGCCTTAGGATAGCATCATCTGCTTTTTGCGGATGATGTGGTCCTGTTGGCTTCATCAGATCGTGATCTGCAGCTCTCGCTGGAGCGGTTCACGGCTGAGTGC